ATTACTACACAGCCAGGGGCTTCCTTGGCCTATGTAAGTCATAAAGAATATGCAGACATACCATTACAGTTGTCTGATCAGGACCTACCATTTCTAGTTAATCAAGAATATGAATACACACCATTACAGTTGTCTGATTGGGAACCACCATATCTAGTCATCCCAAGGTGAATACTATATTGTACTCCCATATGGAGCTACCGTACATTGACACCCGACAGTGTCATAGAATAGAACTTTACTCTTCCTTCCTAGGTTACACACATTCTCCTAATGAGACTACCTTAATTAAACTACGTACCTTCCAAAAGTCTAAGTTGATCCCTAGACTAGATTACAATGCTCGTAACCAACTTTTAATAACAACTCTATTCTTGGGTGACACTAACTTATCTTAGTATGTGTGTGTTTATGTGTGTGTGTGCGTATATATATATATATATATATATATATATATATATATATATTCTATAATAGTATTAGGTATTATCATGGTTCTAAAAGGTGTTCCGTGGCACGCCCTGAGTCGTGCCATGGTGTGAGGCGTGGTGAAGTCGTTACAAAAATGTCCAAGGTGGGTTTGTTAAGCATGGCGTCCAAATAACGTTCAAGGAGTGCCTTTTCGCGTTATGGTGCAAGTTTTTTTCAATGGGCAAGTTTTCTTGATTTGTTCTTTTTGTTTATTTATTAGGAGCACAACAATCGAGTTTTTGTTTCCTTTTTTATATTAAATGAGATAATATACCACTTCTAAAAACTTGATATATTTTATATAATTTTGTAATTCTATGATTTATCCTTTTTAACGTATACAAAATTGTCATGCGTTGAAAAACGTCATTACTCGTCGTGGCTTACCACAACTTAGGCTTGACATTGTCGTAAAGCCCAAGCCTCACGTTATTTAGAACCTTGGGTATTATTAATCATTTATCTTCTCAAGAATTCTAATTTGAATATTATTATACAATATTATCTGTTTATCCTAACATAAAATAAAACCATATTGGTTTGCACATAGCACGCTATGTGTGTGTGTGTGTGTGTGTGTATATATATATATATATATATATATATATATATATATATATAAGCCAGGAAATAAGTGTAAGTCCCAAACCCTTTGTAGATTCGGTGATTAAATATAAACAAGAAAGAACAATGAATAACACAGAAATATCAAAAGTTGTCTTTCACCAAGAAAGGGTTTGTTTTCACCAAGAAAATGGGGTTGTCACAAAGACTATTGACAAAAGGCCGTCACAAAGACACTCTCAGCATTGGAGTTTCACCATAATGTTGATGATACACTAATCTATTCTAGAGAATCCCTTCAATCAAGGGTTTGAATCTAATCTGCATATAAACTAATCTGGTATATGAGGAATGTATCAAATAAGATCTTCTCCAGATTCGAATATCAGCACCAACACTTTAGAAGCAAATTAGAACATCATCTTCAGAGAGGCACGCTGATCAAGGCATCAACGTCAGGGTCTAGAGATCAGCTTTAGCTTCAACTTCAGCTTCAAAGTCAGCTTCAATGTATGAGTGGTCAACGTATCACCTGATTAGTGTGTCATTAGTGTATAACCATCAGCATCAAGAAACACTGATTGGTCTTCAGTAGATGGTCTCTTCATGCCTTTAGTGCCGATAGAGTCAGCTTTAGAGAGTCAGTTATTAGGGGATGTTCTTCACTCTTTGATATATGAACTTCCATCAGCGTATCTTCAGATTAACTAACTATAACTATACAATATATATTTTGCATCATCAAATCTATACAACTTAGTGACCCAACAATTTCCCCCTATTTGATGATGTCAAAGCTAAATTAATCAAGAATGAAATAATGAATGAATAACTACATCTAAAGTAGAATGCTAATGTATGCTCCCCTTTAGATTTTTCTCCTCCTCAGATAAACAACATCTTATTTTTTATCCCCCTTAAAATAATAACCTTCTTCTTTCAAGAGTGTCTGCTATATAAAGAATGATCAAGTAGCAATGTAACAGAACTAGACATTTCTCCCCCTTTTTGACAACATCAATAGGTACTTCCTTTTTTAAGGAGACAACAAATAACCTAAAATAAAAGAAAAATATCAAATGAAGTTAGAGGATAAGATAGGTGTATCACACTATTGTGTTGTTGCAATAGTACATCATTTACATAGAATTACAAAGTCTCATCAACGTACGGATTTATATGCTGAACCATTAACTTCTTTTATTAGAAGAAAAAGGGTGAGAATGGGTAGGTGCATGTAATATATCACGGTACATGATATACCCATCGACACATATTTTTCAAGTTCTCATTACTATATGGAATTTGACATTGAATCATAAAGCTCTTAAGAAGAATGATAACGCAAGAATGGGTTGGTGCATTTGATAAACTACGGTACATAGTCTAACCATCACCGTCAAAACATGAAAGGTACAACGATAATTAGAAGGAATGAACATAATTGATGGAGCTTATATAAGAGCAGGCTCCAGAAACAACCAACTTTAAATAACATTGTGACCAACTTGTGAATTTTCCAGCTCAGTTGCCTTTGTCACTGATAATTTATCCCCTACATTTGTGATTCAAATGTTTGAGACACTTTGTAAGCACAATGTATGATCATAAATCATGTCACTTCTCGTCAATTTCATTAAAATGGTGTGATGAAATTGCAAATATTGAAACTATCTAAAAACATCACATGATCAAACATTCATGTTATCTCTCATTTAACTTCCAATTAGTGCCTGAAATCAAAAAAAACATTGAACGCACAATAAATGCGTAACTGCTATGAGCTTTAGGGGGTAAATAATTTATAACGTTCATAGATAATTTGAACACCAGACACCACATTAAATATTTCCCTCAGAGACGGGAGTGGTAGCGTAATGTCATGAATCATGGTGACAGTGAGACACATCATTGACATGAGGGATTGGATCTATATTCCTTATTAGTTTAAATTAAGGGATATTGACGATAGTGATAGATAGTGCCAAGTTTCAGTCTTGAACTTTTAAGTTCACCATCAATCCCTTAGTACATCACTAACAGATGATTTCTCCAGTTGGTACATGTCAGCAAATGAGCTGCACAAATGTCTTTGAAATTAATAGCAAGATGATATTGTTAGTCTTTGTTCCTCCCTATTGGTTGATGCTCCATATTTGTGCATTTTACCCCTTATATTTCTATCAAGGGATAGAAAATATACACTTGAAAAACTTTGCTAACAAGACCAACACAACACATGTTTTTGTATATATATATATATATATATATATATATATATATATATATATATATATATATATATATATATATATATATATATATATATGCATACACACACAAAACATAACTAGAATAACAAAATTAATATAAAGGATAAACTTAAAAATACTAAAACAAAATAAATCTAATTATGAACAAAAACTTACAAGAAATTTTTTATTTTTAAAAGAAAAACTTATCAAAATTAACATAAAAGACAAAATTCAAAGGAAGTAAATAAAGTCAACTTCAATTAAAATAAAAACTAATTAAAAAACTAGAAAAATAATGTATTTTTATACGAAAAATATATATTTTTTAATATTAAAAACATTCTTTTATTAACTTAATAAAACTTTTGAATAACTTTAAAAATAATTAACGACAATTACCTTTGACTTTCCTTTTTATTTTTTAACTTAAGAGAAAAACAAATTAAACATTTTAAAAAACAAAGCCTTTATTTAAAAAGTTACAACCTTTTAATAAAGAGTAAGTAAATTATTGGAGAAAGAGAGAGAGATATAGATAGAGAGAGATGTGCACAACCCTTTTGCTTGTTAGCTTTTGTATTTTTATTTTTTTTTAACCTCTTGTGAAAAGCATAGTTTCTTTTGATATTTTACGTTACCATTTACTTTGACGTGGACAACTCTTTTTCTTGTTAGCTTTTGTATTTTTTTTAAATTATTATTTTACTTGGCTGAAAGCTATTTATAATGTAATGGACTAACATTTTACTATTTCTATTGTGAATTTCTGGATTGACCCAAATAGGAAATTACTTTTTCAAGTTTAATTAAGTATCTTTCTTTTCATTCTTACTTCTGAGACGAGACCAATTTTTTTTTAAATTATTATTATTATTATACATGAAATAAATCAACTTCATGAAGAACCATACGACCCTTTAAACCGCCTATTTTGAAAGAAACATGCATTCAAATTGACCATAACGCATTGAAAACTACCTATAAAGAAAACTACAAACAGTGCATCTTTTGTGTTTTATCACGCATAAAACACAAAACCCACATGATGACCTGAACTCCATTCTTCTTTTTGTGCCAACTAGACGAAAATACCATTTGCTTTATTTACAGACTTGAACAAATGGGCAACACCTCCACAAATATCAAGGTAAAGTAGATATGGTTGTCATCAATGCTTCTTGATCCCACATAAGAGAGAGTGTAGAAGAAAACTTTCTATTTCGTCCTTATACAAGCAAGACCAAGACAAGTTGTTTTTGTAATTCTAACACTAAATCATCTTGTATACTATAAATGAGCATCCATGTACACACTAGAGAATCATTGACATAATGAATTGACACATTTTCTTCTAACAAAAGTTTACAAGACAACCTCTAACAATCTCTTTTATATCAAAAATAAAATAAAATAAATTATAGATACTCCTTTTCATGACTTTTGCTTAATGAGAGAGACAGTAAAAAATGAACTTTGAGGGATTCATGTCTCCCACAGTGCTTTATAATTAACAAGGACATTTAGGAACACATTTAAGATGGGTTTTGAAACATACCTCACTTCTTCTAAAGATTTGTGATCTATAGTCGAACAACCAACTTGATGTTTCAGAACTCTCTTCTTCTTTCCTAGAGAATTTTGATGCCAATGTTTATTTCTAAATCCATTGACTAGATTTGTTTCAGGTACAGGAGATGTACTCTTAGGAGCCTAAACTTGCTTCATCTTTGTGGGTTCTGAAGATGAGTTCTTTGCAACACGAACACTCTTTGATTTTGAGTACTTAGAGTTCTTTTCTTTGAGTAATTTTCTCTGTAACATAACTGTTAAAACAAGAACATACATAAGAAGCTTACCAGCAAGAGATCTTTTTGATGTTTGAAGATGGAGCTGGAGCATGAGTCTTGACAAAGTGAAATGGAGTCTTCACAACTTAAACTGGAGTGGCAGTGTAACTCGACTTCTTAGCATGAACTGACTTGCCAACGTGAACAAGCTTATCAGGTTGAATTGATTTGTCAACATTTGATGTCTTTGTATTATGAGTTGAAGTGACAGTGCGAACTTTCTCAGCTTGAAGCTTGTCGGCATGAGGCTTGTTGGTGCAAGAGTTGATGTTATGCTCATCAGGTTGAGAACTAGGGCTTCTTGAAGGTGAACATTGTAGGGTTTCAAAGCACTCCATGGATGATGGCAATGGGCCCCCGTGACGAATTCTAGGTTAAAAGCCCAAGACTTGTCTTTTCCCTATAAATAGTCATGTATTATTCATTATTAGGGTCAAGAGTGAGGCAAAATGTAGCCGCCACGTTATGAGGTTTCTTGTAGAGTTAGATTCTTATTTTCTTAAGTGTAATTTGTTCCTCACAATTCAATAAATCGAGTGATCATTCGACATAATCTTCATATTTATATTTGTTCTTATTTTCCGCATCTTGTTCATCAAATCTTAATTAGGGTTTTAATCCCAACAAGTGGTATCAGAGCGGGTCTTTGAAAATCTATTGATTTTTGAAGTATCGGTTCTTGATTTGATGATTTTCTGCACAAGTTATTGAAGATTGTTGGTGTTTTGCCATCTTGAAATCAAAACTGTTCATGGAGAAGTCTGTTACTGTTCATCTCGTATTTTTCTATTGCTTTAATCTTGCCCAAATAATGGATCCTTTACTGTTCCTATCCATCATCTTTTGTCCTATTTGTTTTCTTTTTGGGTCTCTGGAACGTGCGTTTGTCATTTGCGTTGTACATCATTCCTTCATCTAGTCGATTTCTCATTGTCTTCTTGATCAAAATCGATGAATATTGGTTATTGGTTGTTATCGTGAAGTTCATCAATCGATTCTTTTCAGTTGTAATCCACGGTCAATTTTATTTAATCGATTTTCCTATTCCTATTCATATAATCGATTTGATTTTCCGATTAATTTGATTTATGTTGAAATTGGAAAACTTATGATGATATTGTTCTAACTGTGAGAAAAATCGATCTTTGGAGAATCGATTGGAAGTTTGATTGAATGCGAATCTCGATGTCTAATGATGAATGGATGAACAACGTTGTTTCTTGATTTAGATGGTCAAAATAGAAAAGTCAAAATTGGAATTACTAATCTGTGAACGATGCTCTCATCTATGAGTGCAATCGAATGCGTAGACCGAATCGATTTGCTCTCGGATTCTCGGTTATCTATCGTGATTGTATTGATCTGGGGATGTCAATTTTGGCATTTTTCAGTCTTAATGGTCCAAGAAACAAAAGTCAAAATCGACTCATATAAACGGAGAACAGTGGGTTGTTGATCTAAAATCAAATTGGAATCAGGTTCTCAATCGCCAAATGGGTTTTACATTCGGGGCTTAATACAATCAGAACAAACGAATGAGAGTCAGATTGTTGTGAAAATCATTACCTGCAAACGATCAAAGCTCGTTTTTTTTTACCTGCACTCATATTGTTCGTCGACAGTGGTTCGTATTGGGTTTGTGATCGTCGGAGTCTGAGCGAGAGATCACGGTTTTGGGGGTTTCAGGGTTGCCTTGATTCGCAACTTACAGATGGTCAGTGTATTCGAAGGACTTGGAATGAACTTGGGTTTGCGTGATTATGCTTGGAACTGAATAGAACCGAACGTTCGCTTTTTGGGTGTGTAATCAACAAGAAATGAACCTTACAATCACAAACGAAACTCATAGAAGCGAAGGTCACAGACGCTAACATTTGAAGCGAACCTGAGATTCGCTTCCGGTTGCCGAGATTCAATTTGGGTGTACTTGGAATGAACGGTGGCACTATTGGACTTGGACACGAACGTAAAGAAGAAAACGAAAGGGTCGAACGATGTTATTGGATGATCGGTATTGTATCTGTGGTTCGTATGCGAACGATTGTTTACAGTTGCCGTTCAATTCTTTTAATCAGTCGATATATCATATATTGGGGGTGAAGACATAATGTTACATTCTTGGCCCCTGCAACTTCAGAGAATGGACACTTTTGGTCCCTATTGTTTTCACAACTTGGCTATTATGTATAAATTCCAGAAATTGTTACATTTAAAAGGGAAATTCATGTAAAGTTACATTTTTAGTCCTAGAATTTCAGAAAAGTGACACTTTCAGCCCATTTTTCGAAAAGTTTGCAAATTTGAGGGCCGGTGAACAGTTTTGGATTTTTTAACGCACATATTTTTTTTCGTGAACAGAAAAATAAAGATTCCATCAAGTCTTGGCGGTTCGGAAAGTCATTTTTCGTGATAACGTCAAATTTTTACGACTTTTTCGGATTTTATACTTCATTGTATATATCATTTTGTCGCGGGGGAGCTTAGTAAATTTTTATCCATTCAAGATCATTCTCATGACCATTTGAAGGCTTTATAATCATGTTTTTGATTATAAATCGGGGGAGAATTTGGTATGGTCATTCGAAATTGAATTTGTGACTTTTCAAAGTTGAAGATTTTTGATAAAGCTTGTGGTAGAATTATGAAGGTAGCTTTTACAGTGGAAGTTTTTCATCGAGCTCTGCTAAAGCTTTTACAAAGAAGTATCCTTTACAGCGGAAGTTCTTTATCGAGCTCTGCTAAGGACTTGTTATATCTCCGACTTCTTGTATTTTCTCGATCCAGTGGTGTTACGATTCTTAAAGTTTGGGTTGTTACATGATATTTTTTGATGGCTTATATCATTAGCTTATTTGAAGATCATTGTGACTTGGAGGGGGAGCTCTTCAAAGACAAGAAGTGATTCAATTTCTTTGTTCTGAAATGGGTTTTTATGGCGGGTTTGGTTTTCATGAAGATTCTTTGGGATTACATTCGAAAATGAAGTTTAAAGACATTACTTCAGTGCTTGATTTATATATCCTAGAGCCCGTGTTTAAAGACTATTGAAGAATCAAGATTCGTGGATTGCTTCATATATTCCTCGTTGCAGATCTTTTTATTTGCTAGATGCTTGTTTTGGAAGTTAAAGCATTGTCATCCATTCCATACTTTGAGGGGGAGATTGTAGGGTTTCAAAGCACTCCATGGATGATGGCAATGGGCCCCTGTGACGAATTCTAGGTTAAAAGCCCAAGACTTGTCTTTTCCCTATAAATAGTCATGTATTATTCATTATTAGGGTCAAGAGTGAGGCAAAATGTAGCTGCCACGTTGTGAGGTTTCTTGTAGAGTTAGATTCTTATTTTCTTAAGTGTAATTTGTTCCTCACAATTCAATAAATCGAGTGATCATTCGACATAATCTTCATATTTGTGTTTGTTCTTATTTTCCGCATCTTGTTCATCAAATCTTAATTAGGGTTTTAATCCCAACAAACATTCTTCAGGTACTTTCTTCTTCATGTTATTTTGTTTAATCTTCTCCTTCAGATATGATATTTCTTTTTTCCTTAAAATCAATTCCTTCTTCAAGACTTGAATATCTTCTTGCTTCTGATTGATAATCTTGTATTTCAGATCAAGTTAAGCAATGAAGAACATAGATAGAGGAGCCTTTGGATCATACATCAGATATGGAAAACATGACAAAGGGTTGGGATCGATTCTCTATTATTTTTCGAACTATTATGTTTTTCTTCTTCATCAAAAACGTTTTTATCTTTGTTGATCCTTCCACTTATGAATTCTTCTATCATCTAAGATATAATATAAGGACCAAACATACCAGATACAGTTAGATAATACCAAAGATAAGAAAACATACCATACTCTCTCTTTTAAATGTTTCAAATACTCTTCATATCTAAATGATTTTATAATATATTCTTCTTCTTCTTCTTCTTCTCCTTCTGATTTCAAGTTTCTGCATAGTGAATAAACTTCTGAATATTGAGTACATCCTAGAACGAATGTTCTAGGTTGATCTGATACCAATTGAAAGTCTCAAACCCTTTGTATATTCGAAGATCAAATGTAAACAAGAAAGAACATTGAAGAACACATAAATATAAAAATTTGTCTTTCACCAAGAAAATGGGGTTGTCACAAAGACGATTGACACAAAGCTGTCACAAATACACTCTCAACATTAGGGTTTCACCCTAACGTTGATTATAAACTAATCTACTCCATAGGATCCCTTAAATCAAGGGATTGTATCTAATTTATATATAAACTAATATGATATAATAGGATGTATTAAATCAGATCTTCTCCATATTCGAATATTAGCACCAACACTTTAGACGCCGATCAAAACATCAACTTTACAGAGTCACACTGATAAGGGCATCAACGACAGCGTCTAGATATCAGCTTCAGCTTCAACTTCAGCTTCAGAATCGGCTTTAGTGTATGAGTGTTCAACGTATCACCTGATCATTGTATCATCAATGTATAACCATTATCGTCTAGAAATACTTATTAGTCTTCAGTAGATGGTGTCTTAATTCCTTTGGTGTAAATAGAGTCAAGTTTAGAGAATTAGTTATCAGGGGATGTTCTTCAGTCTTTGACATATGAACTTCCATCAACATATCTTCAAATTAACTAACTACATCTATACACTATATATATATTGCATCATAAAATCTATACAACTAAGTGACCCAACAATAAGCACATAATTCACATTTGAATTCCAACACATATTTAATATTTTAATTAGTACTTTTACTAAATCATGTTCATGAAAGGGACTATGCACTAACATGATAAAATTGGATGACTGAAAATTTCGGCAGAGCTTCGTTACATAATTTGAAAAGACCTAGATGCATAAAGTACTGACCTTAGTCTAGTTTCTCAATCCTTGTGACTATCTAGATTCCTCACTAATCCTAATGTCTACATTGTAACCCCGTAGATCCGAGCTAGTCAATTTAGAGATAATAGGGGTCGAAAATGACTTTTTGACAAAAGATTATTTAGAATAAATAATCTTAACTATGTTGTAGAATATGTCTCAAGGGTTCCGTACATATAAAAAACGTTGAAATCCGATTTATAACAAAGAAGTTATGGTCCGTCGAAGTTTTATGGCAAAACCAGCACGACACCGAGAGACGTAAATAGTGAATTTATGATGGAGGACTTTTTAGCCTTATAAATTTAAACAAAAGTTGTAGTATATATTAAACTGAGAACATATGAAAAAGAACGCCCAAATCTGACTTCGTATGAGAAAGTTCTCAATTTTCTAAGATTTGGCTTAGCAGTGCACAACCCGAAACTCGAAT